GGAGGCCGTGCGTCGGGCAGCACTTGTTTCAAAGACGTTTTCTCATTTTGTTGTGGATGAAAGGATTGTGTCCAAGTTGCCACCATGTATTCTTGCCGCAGTCACTGCGTCCTTGCCGGCGACAGCGCGGGAAAGAGATGTCGTCTCATCCTCCGCACCAGGGCCAACAGCCCAAACGGAGAAGAAAGTTGGCGTGGGTAAACGAAAGGGAGCGAAATTGGCAGAGCCTTTGACGACAACGACGACGACGCACGTACCGGCGTTGCCAAAGACGTCGCGCAAATGCATTACCCCCTTGCGTAACCTTGAAGACCGTGCGAGTCTCACATTTCGGCTTTCACAGGGTGTCTTGGGTGGCGTAGTGCGTGTAAAGAACATGGGGCTGTTGACATTTCGTGTTGGCCACGCTGGCATGACGGCCGGGGATGTGTGCGAGAATGCGAAGTGCTTTATTTTTGCCTTGAAAAGGGAATTCCCGACTGTATGGAAGTACATTCACGAGTTTACGATGACGTCGGGTGTGACGGAGCCTATCCGCTTTATGGAAGTGCACATTCGGAAATAAAAAAAAAAAAAAAAAACATGCACCGCCTCATGTCTGTGGATTTGTACACCAACGTGGATGAGTGTTAGTTCTTTGGAGTCCTGATGGAGGGGGGAAAAGCGATAAGTTTAAATTGCACTAAATTGGCATAAGCCCTTCTGTATTTTACTTCAGTGTACGTATAAATAAAAATAAATGCCCACAACGCACAGAGACACACACCTTCTCTCTCCCTCTCTCTCTTTCTTTCTTTGTGTCTCCTTTTGTCTGATTGCATGTGTGGGCAGGTGGTTTTTACTGCAGCAACAAGAAGAGAACACAAGGAATAAAAGAAAGGAAATTTTTTTTTTTTAAAGTTAAGGCAAAGAGGTAAAAAAAAAACAAAAACAAAATAATAATAGTATTATTTACGAATAATAATAATAATAAAGGGAACCAAAAAAAAAAGGAGGGGGAAAAAAGAAAGAAGGATTCTTTTTCTTTTTTTTTTCTTTTCTTTTTTTTTTTTTTCTTTTCTTTTGATGTCTAGTGGTGCCACTGCTCGTGAAGGTTCTCTCGGCGTACATCAGCGCTCCCTTGGGCACCTGCCGCAGCCACAACGTCAGGCAGGCGAACAGCAGCACCAACAACATCAAGCAATTCAACAACAACGTCAATCAACTCAACAACAGCAGCAAAATGCATCCCAGCGAAGCGAGGTGGGTGACACGTACCGCTACCTACTGCGCCACCACGTGCATAGTAAACTTGAGGACATCTTCAGCAATGTACTTAGTGAGCGGCCCGAAGATCCTCTGCATTACATCGTGGAGCACCTGCGTGCCAACGGTGTAAAATCCGCTGGTAAAGATTGCCTTATAGAGACGGCTGATTTCAACAGTCTCAATAGAAGTAGAAATGAAAAACAGCAACCGTCAGAGTCCGCCCCAGTGCAAAGTGAGGTGACAACGGAGGAGCGACGGGATAATAAACAGCTGGCGGCCAGAGATCCTGTGGCACAGGAAGTGAAAAGTGGAGGCGTGGTGGAACGACACACAGAAGAAGGGACGCCGATTGAAGAAACAGAAACGCCACGGCTACCGTCAACATTTGTCGGGCTGGTGTCTGCAAATGACACACCGGCGCAAGTGGATCTGGAGGCAGGGACATTTCCATCCAGCTCCCCCAATGTCTTGGCAATCCCTTCGGCTGAACCGCACACACAAACACCGATAACAAGTCTTTGTAGCACAAGAACAAATATATGCATGATGCGGCCTTCTTCCGCCCTGTTAGCACCGTGGACTTCCGTACGCAGTAGTCGCAATGATACTCCTTATGGAACAACAGGCTTTCGATTGGGGACAGGCGGCGGGCCCGAGACGACGTACAGCAGCACATGTACGACGGTTCTTGATCGCGATGACAGTACCCGAAGTGATCTCTCAGCGTTCAGTTTGGCTTCCGTAGACATGCAAGACTTTTTACAGGAGTTTCGTAGTGCCAAGGCAGAATGTGTTGGGGTCGAAACGCAGTTGGTGGACCTTGAGATGCTTTCAGAGATACTGCAATGTGTCAATATTCCTATTCCAGAAATCCCGCTTATTGCAGAATTATTTGACGATGTGAAGAGGATTAGTACAATGCGCTACGGTTCCAGTGTGTTCTCGACGGAGGAGGAAACAAGTCAAGACGCAACAACCATACTCACGGCTGCATCCGCCGTGTCCTCACGTGCAGCGGATGCCGATTTACGGGACCGAGTGTACTTTGAGGCCTTTCTCGCTCGTATGGCCTTTATGATTCAAGGTCGATATCCAGCCGAAGTTATCCGGGGCACTTTCTATTCCATCTTGGAGTCGGTTGTGCGGAAGGAGTGCCCTGCAGATGGCGTGGCTCAACAACACGAACAACAACAACAACAACAACAACAACAGAAAAAAAAAACAGGGGATGAACCACGGCGCACAAGCTCCTCGAGTGGGAGCGCCACGAGCAGATTGACCCGTGCGGCCACCAAGAGCCAATGTAGAACGAGTGGCAACACATTTGTAAACAATGCGGGAAATAATCTCGCCACAACGCCGCACCAAATTCTTTCGCTAACACAGACATATCCAAGTGTGACACAGACAAAGTCCGCACGCTGCGCCGCAGCTAACGACGGTCAACCGGCTGCCGAGTTGTCGCCACTTATGCATGGAGTGTCACTGGCAGTGTGCGTAGAGGAGGGTCTCTGGCGTGGCCTAGGCATCCCCGTAAGCAAGGCGGAGGTGGTAAATGCCCTGTGTCTCCTTGGCATACCGGTGGATGACAACTACGAATTTCATGTAAATGAATTTGTACGGCTTGTCATGGCGCTAACAGGGCAAAGTGTGTTACACCCCGTCGGGGAAAAGGCTTCTTCGTGGTTGCTTTCGTCAGTTGGAAGGGAGAGCTCGCTTGTACCACTTAGCGGGTCCTGTAAGGAAGATGGCGTGTAGTAATCTGCAATATGACAGAAGGAGGATAAAAACCAACATGAAATAAAGAATCAGAGGGCATACGTACATAAATACATACATAAATTTATATGTCTCTCTCTATATATAGTGTACTTGATTTCTCGCCGTGTCTTTCTCACAGTGTAGGTGTGTTTCATCGGATTTGAGGAGAGTGGGGCGTGTTTTTTTAAGGCTTTTTTTTTGTGTGTGTGTGCGCGCGTTTTCTTTTCTTTTTTACGTTTTTATTAGTTATTGTTTGTTTTTTCTTGTCGTTGCTGTTTTTTTTTCCTTTTTTTTTTTTTTTTTTTTTTTTTTTTTTTTGTGGGTGTGGGTGTTCTGTTTTTTAAATAAAGACACATACACAATGGTATCAGCGGCGGGATTCAATTATTTTTGTATGCATCTGCTTCTATGAGCCGTTTTTTTTTTTTTTTTTTTTTTTTTTTTGCTGCTGTTGGTTTCTGATTTTGTCTTTTGCCATTTTTTTATATTTCTGCAATATACAGTTACTTTTTATTTATTTATTTATATATTTATATATATGTAGTTAATCTCTATGTGTATGTGTATGTGTGTGTGTGTGTGTGTGTGGCTCTTGAATATCAATGCTTCCTATTATGACTTTTATCAAAATACTTCCCTTCTGTGTTTGTAGTGAGCGCGTATGAATGGAATGGAAAGGCTTGAATTGTGTTTGATAAACATGTCCGGTAATTACAGTCTTTCCCTTTTTTTTTTTTTTTTTTTTTTTTTCCAAATGCATCATTGCATGTTGATTTTGTTGTCATGCGTATATTCTTGAAGGGGAAGGAGTATGGCTACACGCAAATTTCTCTCATTGTGTGATGTCCACACAAACACACACACATATAGTGGGGTTGAGTGAGTTACCCGCACAAGGGCTTTTAAGGCCTGTGTACAACGCTTTCTCGTCCAGCGGCATGTATTTGATGCGATTTGTGCATATCGACTAGCAAATACCCTGAGCCGTTAAGTAAACGACATGTTGAAAGGACACGCCATCAACAACAACAAAAAAAAAAGGAGTTTGTGAAGGGGGAACGCGGGAGGTGGGGGGGTTTTATGGCGCCTTCTGCATCTCCATTGTTTTCTCAGTACTTTACATTAGTGTATATTGGGAAATCGTAATTGGACTCTCCATTGTCTATTGAAGTCGGCACGATTGTTGCATGTTTGTCGTTTCCTTTTTTTTTTTTTTTTTTTTTTTTTTTGGCTTTTGTATCTGTGAGGAGAGGAGGGGAGACTCCAGCAAAACTATCGCCACGATGAGGAAGCAGGAATTAATATCTGCCTCATTGCTACTTCGTTTCTATTTTATTGTTGTTGTTATTATTATTATTATTTGTGCTTTACGGTGGCTCCTTTCACCGGCTGCCATTGTCCTGCTATGGATGCCCCTGTTGCCATTTCTTCTGCTGCATGTGATTTGGGTCACGCGCATCGATTTGTGAAGTTGAGGCAGTCCTTTGCTCACTGTATATCTTTTTGGGGTTTGTCCTGGCATCTCTTCTCTTTCTGCACATGGAGGACGCAGGGGTGTGGAGGGGCACACAAATAGTGAGCATAGGTACTGTGCAGCGCACGCACGCACGGAGTTTTACAAAAATTTCACTCTTCTCCAATCAAGCACTTGTCGCCGCGCGAATGGCGTCGCAGAGACCAACCGTGTGGGGTGGCAATGGCGGCAGCGGCAGCGGCAGCAGCAACGGTGATCCGTACCGTCGCCTCGTTAATGAGGCGGGAGATGATGTATCCGCAACGCCAGCAGGCCCTTACAGCAATGGCATGGGCTACAGTCGGGAGACAGAGCAGCGTGTTGCGAGGATTGTGGCGGAGTATGAGTATAAACTACTGGAGGAGCGTGGCCGGGCGCAGGAGCGAGAGACACGACTGCTGGAAGAATTAAGGCGGGAGAAGGCGCAGGTGGAGCGTCTAACGAATGAACACTCACGGCAGGAGGAAGGGCTGAAGGAAAGTCCAGGGGGACGTCTGGTTTCAATGGAGGAGTACGAGCGGCTTCAGCAACAGCTGAAAGAAACACGCCTTTTGCTGCAGGAGGCGGAGCGCCGCTATCAGCAGGAAAAACGAGAGCTTTTAAACCTGAGAACATCGCAGCTGCGCAGCGAGACTTCAAAACGTGGTCAGGAAGGTGATATCATTGCCCGCGCCATGCAAGTCATGTCGGAGTACGAGGCCGTGGTGCGTAGTAGCGAGGAAAACAGTATTGCGCGCCTCTCGCAACACATGGAAATGTTTGAAAAGGAATGGATCCGTCGTTCACGGGAATTTGAGGAAAAAAAGGCAGCATTTGAAGTGGACATGATGGAAAAAACGCGACAGGTGCTAGCGGAGCACGAACATGACGTGGAGGGTATCAGCCGCACGTTGCTCGAAAAGACAACGCATGCCCTTTGTAACCACAGCGAATTACGACTGGAGATGGAAAGGGAAGTCATGCGTCATGCCGATATTTTCAAGGAGGAATACAAGGAAATCCTGGAGAAGGAATTTTATGACCGTTGTAAAATGTATGATGAGAAAATTGCAGAAAGAGAGCGTGGTTGGGTAAAGGTCTTGCAAGAGGAACGTAAAAAGATTGTCGCTGCCGAGCAGCTGTCTATAAAGGAACATGAAAAATTGCATGTTCAAGCCCTTGAGGACGCGATGCGGGATCTGTCGCAGTTGCGTGAACAGCTTGTGCGTGAACACCAGGAACAGCAGACAGAGGCCATGAAAGATCTTATCACAAGGCGAGAGGACCTGCAGCGGGATCATGAGGAACAGATTGCCAGAATGAACGAGAAGATGCAAGAGATGAAGCAGGAGTGTGCAGCGATGGTGGGGGATATGCAGAACAAAATGAGGGACTTACATATCCAAACGGCGGCGAAGGAAGCAGAGATGGCACGACTTCTACAAGAAGCAAAGCAGAGGGCAGATGAAGCTGCGCTGGCCAAAGGTCTGGAGGTACGCAAAGAAGTTGAGAAGCAATGGTTATCTATGCTTGAGAAGGAGCGTGCAAAGTACACGACAGATGTGCAGCGGCTGAGCAAAGAGTATCAAAACACTATTGACCGCATGCGTAACGAGCAGGCAGAACGAGAAGGTGCTCTCCTTACTTCGTATGAACAGCGCGTGGTGCAGGTGGAAGAGGCCGCAGAGCTGCGTTGGAGCGGTCGTGTGGAGGAGGCCATGCAGGGGTTGGAACGCCATATGGAGGTGGTGCAAATGCTGCGCCATGATAATGAGAACATGTCGGCTCGCATCGAACGACTCACGCAGGAGTCGGAACTGATTGCTGCAGAAAAGGAAGGCGCCGTTGGACGCGCGAGGCGGGAACAAGACGTTTTGTGGCATGAAAAGCTTGAAGAGATGCGACAGCGATATGACAAATTACTCGATGAGGCGCTGGGTACTACCGACGATGCGGCTTCCGGGCCCCGTGTTTCCAGGCAAGAATACGAGAAGATGGTGGCTTCTGTGAAGGAGTGGGAGGAGAAATGCGTTGCGTTGAAGCAGCAGTATGATCGGCGAATGGCGCAGGAGCAGGATGAACTTAACGCCGCGTGGGGGAAACGCATGGACGAGGAACGGGCCCAAAGAGCGTCATGGGAGGCGGAGCAGCTGAAACAACTCGCCAAGACGCGTGATGTCTTTTTGCAGGATATGGAGGAAAAGGAGAAGGCATTAGCCGAAACTCATCGGGCGGAACGTGATGCACTTTATCAGGCATTTTTGCAGCAGCAGAAGGGTGAGAGGGAACGCAGTGATGCCGCCATTGCACAGGCCCAAAAAGAGGCAAATGAACGATGTGTCGCCGTGTTCAATGAGCAGGAAAAGGCATTTCAGGAAAGAATACGCCTTCTCGAGGAGCGTATTTCTCAGTCTATGGCAGATGTACGGCGGCGTGAGGAGGAAGTGCAGGAGGAGTTTTTACGGAAAACGGATGAGGCACAACAGAGCGCAATGGATTACATTCGACAGGAACGTGAAGCTTTGCAGACGGCGTACGACAAGAAGTTTTCCGAGTTATACGATGAGCAACAGCGCTGGGAGGTGCAACGCACGACGCTGCATGAGGAGATTACTGGGAAATACGCGGAGCGGTTTGCGAAGGCCAAAGCTGAAATGCAACAACATCTTTCTGCTGTCGTGGAAATGATGCTTTCATACCAGGAGCAATGTGAAACCAGTTGGTTGCAGGCACGTGGAGAAGAGTTGGATGTCTTAAATAAAGCAATGTTGGCCTACATGGAACGCATGGAATCATTCAGGGCCGCCGATGCCGCACGTGTGCGGACGCAGGCGGAAGAGAGAATCCGAATGGAGCAAGCAGCCATGGAAGAGCGTGAACGGGCCCTTTATGAAACGATACAGGCGAGACAGGAGAGCGATGAAAAGAGTGTGCTCCAACACGCCACGCAGATGTTGGAGGAACAACAGAGCGTCCTTGCAGAGGCCACATGGAAACGCTCCCAGGAGCAGCAGCAGCAGTGGGAGAGTTTCAAGACAGAATGGCTGCAAAAAACATGGTCTATGGAAGAAGTACACCGGTCGGAGATACAACAGATGCGACGTGGGCACGAGGTGATGCTGGAGGAAGAACGGCAGCGGTGGCGAAAGGAGTTGGAAAGACAAAGAGCGGATTTGCAGGCAGATCAACAGAGGCTTGTTGAGCAGCTACGGCAGCTAGAAGACGTGTTGACAGACAAGCATGAGTCTGCAATGAAGGCAGAAAGGCAGTATCATGAAGATATTGTGGTGGAGTTGCGCAAACAACATGAGCGTCATCTTGCGGAGGCGAAACAGCGCACGGAGACTGTGCTGCGAGAGCGTGAGGCGGCCTTTGAATTAGAGCTCCGGCGGTTATTGGAACGTGTGGAGAAGCAAAGCCGTGAGCAACACGATTGGACAAATGAACGTGTGCAGGCGATACAAGATGAGTTTGACGGTATGGTGCGCAATGTGAAGATGGATTCACAGCGTAATCAGGAGGAATACATGAAGCGAGTCGCGGAACTTCAGCAGCGGCACCTAGCTCAGCTACAGGAGCAGGAAACGGCATTGCGACAGAAGTATGAAGAGAGTTTGGGTGCCATGCATAAGGCGATGGAACTGCGACTCCGCGAGCACCTCACGTTGGACATGGATGTGGAGCAGCGTGTGGAAGAGAAACGAGCTACGCTGCGTGAGGAGATGGAGGCCAATTGCGTTGCGTTCATGGAAGAACAAATGGGGCGAATAAGAGCGGAACAGCAGGCGCGCGAGGAGAAGGCACAAAATATGGAGCGCCTTTACATGGACAATCTTGCGGCGTTGCGAAGTGAAATGGATGAGATGCTTTCGACGCATTTTGCCCAGACGGAAGGTCGTGCACGTGAGACCGCGGAGCAGACACGCATGGAGTGTGAAAATAAATTGCAGGCATTCTTCAGTGTGGTGGAGGAGGAACAGAAGCGCTGCGCCACGTTGGGGGATCAACTCCGTGAGGCGCACGCTCAGATGGATGCGCTGCGCATCACACACGAGGAGCAGAAGTTGAAGGCGTTGCGGGAGTTGCAATTGAAGTATGAAAATGTTTACAAGGAGATGCATGATGCTCTTCGCGCAGAACGTGAGGAATTGGTACGACGTGCCCTCGGCGAGGAGGAGCAGCGATTACTCAAAGAACTCACAACACGCGAAGAGAGGCGACGTCATTACACTGACACTTCCTCGCCATATGTCACGCCCACGCCAACAGTGGGGCGTTACGCGGTGCCACAAGAAGGGACGCCAGTTGCCTCGATGCAACAACTCCAACATTACCAACGTGGGGGAGATGAGTCGTTCCTGCAGTCGTGCCTGCGTGCGACCCCGCGCACCCCGTACGGTGGGTCGAATGGCAACAATCGCGCGGACGCGTTTTTTGGTCTGCATGACGAGAAGCTGCATCAGCTGTGGTGCGTGATGGAGTTACCAGAGGCGGAGCAGCAGCAGACATTGCGTCGCTGGTCTCAGTTGCCACCGCCACAGCGTGCGTTGGAGATACAGAAGGAAACACGGCGTCTGGAGCTTCAGCTACCCCTTCTAGAGGTCGTGACGCGGCGAGAGTTTCTTATGCATCGACTGAAGGAAATAGAGAAGAGTTCATTCAATAACAACAAGAGCAATAGTGGGAGTTTGGGTGGTGACGCACATGCGGAGGAGTTACGGAAGGAACTGTTACGGCTGACGGAGCACCTAAAGGGTGAGATTCCACGACACGAGTCGATGTACGGCTGTACGTTCCGCTTTCGCGGGGTGCGTTACATGGAGACACTACTTGATCAGTAGTCTTACAGGTCACATTGTGTGGGAAAGGAAAGATATAAAAAGGGGATTAAAGGAAGAATACTGAATTGGGAAGAAAAAGAAAATGGAAATACACGCTTTTGTGTGTGTGTGTGTTTGTTTTTTTGTTTCTTTAAAACTCACACATACATACATACAGAGAGAGAAGTTATTGTTATTTATTTATTTTTTAATATATCTTTACTTTTATTTTTAATCTGTACGCCTTTTTTTTTTTTTTTTATCCCACCCCTTTTTATTTATTTATTTTACTATTTTTTAATTTCTAACTCCCATGTCTGTACGTCTCCTTTTGTTGTTGTTGTTTGCTTGTGGTTATTTATTTATTATTTATTTTTTATTTTTTATTTTTTTTTTTTGGGGGGGGGGGAGTGGGGAAAGGGGAGGGGATTTTATTATTAGAAGACACCTGTAATTGTTGTTATTTGTTGTTGTGGGTACTGTGGGTGTGGGTGTGTTTTTATCGTTTATTTATATCGTCCCCCCTTCACCTCCTTTATATATCCCCCTCCACCGTCTATTAGTTGTAGTTGACGCTCGCCACCTCCCTCGCGGCAACCGCCCTTCTCTGTTATTTATTTATTTGTTATTTATTTGTTGTTGTTATTACTTCTTATTATTTCGGAGATCTGTTGACATGTATGCTTGAAACCTCCTTTTTTTTTTTTTTTTTTTTCTCTCTCTCTCTCTCTGTCTGTCTCTCTGTCTGTCTGTCTTTTTGTTTGTGTGTTCGTGTGCAACAAAATATCTCCACGGAGTGTGAAAGGAGATGGAGGGAGGCGGTTTGGGCCCAAAGACGGACGTGACAATAAATGTTTCAGGCACCGTGACGTTACCGCTGCACCTACAGGCGCTGGAAACTCTTGAAGACCCCGTGCTGCAGGCAGAGATCATGAAGGAGGCCGCGCGCATCGCGATTTCTGAGAAACTCAGTGGCTTTGATAAGATGCATATCACCGCTGCACAGAGACGTGGCAATCCGAGCTGTGAGGCGACGCTTGAATTTGCAGATCTCTGCTGCGCCATTGCAAATTTGCAGCACGCCTACGAGCATGCCATGGGGTATTTTCTTAAGATCCAGGAGATTATCGACAAGAAAAGGACGCAGCTACAGGAAGAGAGGCTGAAGAAATCTGAAGAAGAAGAAGAAGAAGAAGAGGAAGCGGGTCCTGAAGACGTGCTTGCAGATATTCATCAGTTGATTCGAGACGCGCTGGACGGTCCAGGCGAAGCACCGTTTGCGTCAGTCATTCGTGAATCCGCCCACAAAAACACGACGGTAGCAGCAGGATCCATGGCTGATTGTGATGATGGTGACGGGGCAGCAGATTATTATGACGACATGCATAATCCGGAGGCAGAGGGCTACGCCCCGCTGTTGGATCACACCGACACCGGATTGAAAGAAGAAGTGGAGGAAGAAGAAGAAGAATCAACGATAAAAACCGAAAAAAAAGGAGGGTCTGAGAGACAACGAGACGGCAGCCGCTGAAAGATAAGGCATATATATATATATATATATATATATTGTTTCACTTGTTGGTTGTGGTTTTTCTTCGCGTGTGTGTTTTGTTGTTGTTTTTGTCTCTTTGTTTGTTTGTTTGTTTGTTTGTTTGTTTGGTGCTTTTTTCTTGGACATGCATTCAGTGTACTTTTTTGACTGCTCTCTTACGCCTCCCAAAAGATTTGTGGGAAAAATTGGCTCTTATTGTTTTCTGACGAGTTTGTGACTACTTTTTGTTTGTTTGTTTGTTTGTTTTTCTTGTTTTTGTGGCTTCACTGTATTTTGGTGATGACTGCCAGTGGCCAACCACTGACTGCGGTACAGTCGTATGTGCACAGTGAGTTTTTGCACAGAGAAATTATTTGCATTGTTTCTAGGAGGAGGTGTAGGCCAGCTGCTCCTGGAGACATGCTTCGTGGTATGACAGCCTTTCTTGAGGCCGTTGACGAACGGGCAGAGCAACTTGCGCGGCAGCAGGCGGTGGGGGAGGAAGCGACATCGCTGGAGGTGGAGATGGAAAAATCGGACGAAAAAGAAGAAGGCAATGAGGGGAGATCGACAAACGGCATGTATGCAGCGGGGGATGATCCTGCACCACATGCGTTGGGGAGCCAAGTGTCTTTACCGCCGTTTCCAGCCCAACCCACGGAGACGCACGGCAGCAAAAATAATGGCGGCATGGCGCCATCAAAAAAATCAACGGCGGCCGCGGTTTCAGCGGAGGACGAAGGCGGTTTCTTACAGGGGAAGTGGAATCACGTTGAGGAGGGAGCGACGGCAGCAGCAGCGGCGCTAATGATTCAACGAGATCTTGAGTCTTCGCTCCTGAGGCGAAAAGACGAAGAGATCGATGTTCTTGCACAACAAGTTCGGCGTCAACAGGCAACGGCGGAGGCCGCACGACAAGAACTGCTGCAACGTTCGCTACAGGTGCATCAGTTGGAGGAGTCACTGCGCGCCGTCAGGGCCCGCTTTGACGAGCACAAGTCAAAGTCTCGCCGATTACTGGAGGACAAACAACGAGAGTACGAGGAGCTTTGTCGCCGTATTGAGCTGCAGGAAAGGAGAAAACATGCGCCAGGTAGTGCCGAAATGGACAATTATCAAAATAGTAAAGACGTGGCAGCACGGCAGCGTGAGGAGGAGTTAGCAGGCACGATTGCTTCCTTGAGGCGAGAGCAAGAGCGACTCGAAGCGCAGATTGCGGCTGGTCGTCGCGAAGTGGACGCGGCACACGAACAACGAATTGCGGTCGCACAACAGTTGGAATTTATGCAGTTGGACTTGCGTGGTGCACAGGAGGCTCTTGAGAGTGAAGTGACGGCACACCAGCGAAGCAAGGCGTTGCTGCAGGGACGGCAGCGGGAGTTAAATGAGCTGCGGGCAGCAGTAGAGAAAAATGGTGGAAGCTTCACTGCAGCCGGTGCCCTTATTTCATTCCGTGGCGATGATGCTGGTTCGCGCGACAATTTGCTTCTCTCTCGTCAGCTTCTCGAGAAGCAGAATGCATTGGAGGCGGCCATGCGAGATGCGGCGGAGTGGCGGCGACGTTGCGAGCGTGCGACACTTCGGCTTGAGGAGGAGCGTACCACACGTGTAAACATTACAAATTCGCAGCAGCTGACGCGGGACGCGGCGGATTTTCGTCCGATTTCTTTCCGACGTCTGACGTCCACAGGTAGGTTGACGATGTTAGTAGTGGATTTGATAGCCACAGTGGACAACATTGCCATTCGCTTTGGTCGACTCCTGCGACGGCAACCTGTTCTTCGCCTTATCGCTGCGTTTTACATGCTCTTTTTACATGTATGGTTTCTGATGGCGTTGATGGTGTTTGGGAGAAGTGCAGATATTTCATCTTTGACTAACAAAAGCCCTTGAAGGATAGTATGAAATAGTGGAATTTTTGTTTCTTTTCTTTTGGTTTTGTCTCCTCCTTCTCCTTCCTTAACCCTATTCCTCTCCATTTGTACACATATATATAAACATATACATCTATGCATGTATGTATTCATGCTCTTCTTTTTTTTTTTTTTTTTTTTTTTTTCATATTACACGGCGTGTTTGTGTCAGGTATGATGCGCTTCTTTTGTATTTCATTGGTTTCCTCCCTCTTTTTGTTTTGTTCTTTTTTTGCAACTTTCACGGGCTGCCTGGAGTAGCGAGTGAAGTGCGCCCTCCCCCTCCCCTCCCCGTCTACTTTTCCTTCAATTCATTATCCACATACACACATATAAAGAAAGGCACGGCAAATGGAGCTGATAGACCCTGTCATTCCCTCCTCAGATCATGAAGTGCAACAGGGGCTGCGTTTACTTGAAGCCCCGATTCTTGTGTTTGCAGAGACAGCCGCAGAACGTCGTCACCGTTTGCACAAACTGATGATTGAGGGCGGTTACAGAAGTCTTGAGGAAATTTGTAATAAACGGCTCATGGTCCCCGCATCACTGCCTCTTTCGCAGGGTGGAAGAAGGGGTCATAATGCGTCGTCTCTCCCATTTGTTTCTGTGAGAACCAAGGAGGAGTTTTCGCTGGCATCACCGGCGCTGGTAGAGCGGCGCCGGGCATTGCTGCCATTGACAATGACACGTGCAGAACGTCGTATTGCAAATCTAAAGGAAGTGTTTGTGGCATCTTCAGCCGTAGTTCGACCCACCCATCAGGCGGCAGTGAATCAATTGAGACGTATGCGTCTGACAAAGTCCGTCCGCAATGTCAAGATGGGGTATGGGAGTGGCAGTAATGTTAGGAATGCGTCATCTTCACTTGTAGGGACTCTTTGTATGCCGCTCACATCATGCGCCGCTGTGCCCATGTTGCCGCACACCGTCATCACCGGCGCAGCTGACGGCGTCATGACCATTTGGAATACGGATGCTTGTCAGCCGCTTGTGAGTGTCTCTAGCTGCGACAGCGGTTGGGGACAAGTCCGGCACCTCGCTGTGCATCCGGCAGTACCCCTGGTTTTTTCCACCACCATGTTTGACTACACCATTGCCGTGTGGCGTATTACAGGGGAATCGTTTGTTGATGGAGATGATAATAAGACTAATAACACCGTGGTGAATGTCAGTAGCGTGAAAAATTCTGGTCGTGTTGGTCTTGAGCGTGTAGATAGAAGTGAGGAACAGCATAGTGCATGCATTCAGCGCCTTGCTGTGGATCCTACAGGCTCATTACTTGCCTCTACAAGTGATGATTCCACTGTGTGTCTCTGGGATGCTGCTGCCTTTTTGCCCGCGGGGAAACTGCGGCATCTGTTGAAGCAAGATGGATATGAAGCGGCGTGCGGGACCCTTGATGTCTGCTTCCATCCCGATGGCTCACTTCTCTCCACAACAGACAAGGCAGGCCGTGTGGTAACATGGGATGTAAGAAGTGGAATGCAGGCTTTTACAACGGCGGGAAAATATGGTGGTCATTTAAACGCCTGCACTTGTGTTTCATGGTCGCCTTGTGGAGTCCGTTTTGCATCTGGGGGTGCTGACAATGTTGTGCACCTGTGGGACGCACGATATTTGTCACGCGGAGCGGCAGAGGCACCGTGCATCTTGGTAGGACACGAGGACGTCGTTACGTCCGTGTCGTTTTTTGCCAACCCTGTCTTTTCTGTTCTTCCCTCCGCCGTTATTTCGACATCGCTGGATGGCAGCGTCCGACTGTGGGACACAGACACCGCGGGTGTGTGTCTGCATGTGCTCCATGGCCCCTTCCCCGTGCGAGCGCAATGCCGTCCAGCTGGTGGTACGGGGAGTGCAGTGCTGACCGTAGCGCATGGAAAGTATTGGTCCATGTGGGACATTATCGCGGATGGTGAGGAGGTTGAGGTGATTCCCACGGAGACGGAGGCGACGTCGACCATGGCAGCCGCCCTTCTGCGGCACGGCGTCGTGCCAGAGGAGGATGAGGATGAGGAGGAAGATGAAATGATGGCTCTGCGTAATGAGGGCAAAATGGCAGCAAACGATCCCGAGGTTTCATCGTTGAGTGACAACAACATGGATGATGACGATGAGGACGAGATGAGTTTTTTGAAGAAGAAATGAGAAGAGATTTCAAACAAAAATAAATTTAAGAAAAAAAAATGTGTGTGTGTCCTGCCTGATGGGGTGAACAGGGCCAATTATTCTTTTGATCTCCAACCGTGCTGTGGCTGACGGTCTTTCTTTCTTCACCACAATTTCTGTCACTCTCCAATGTATACAGTGTAGTTTCTGACTTGCTCTCCCACCCCATCCCCGCCCGGCTGTGGGATGTCCGTCCCCAAAGCGGCTTTGATGCAAATATTTGACCTGTACGACACTGATCGTGCCGGTTGGATCCCCACCAAACGTATTCCTTACGTACTGCGAACTTGCGGGATGATCTCTACACAAACGGAGATGGAAACTCTACTCCATGATCACTTTGCATCCCGTGACACCGTGACGCGCAGTGGGTTTCAGAAATTCTTGGAGCAAAAGGACATTCTCAAGGCGGAGGATTTTAGCTCAGAGAAGGAATTGGCAACGGCATTTCAGGTATTTGACTCACGTGAATCCGGGGCACTCACGTCGGATGAGGTGCTAACGATTCTAACCCGCATGAATGAGAAGATTGATGTGGACGCATATCATCGCGTCATGGATGGGCTCGAGCTGAACGAGCAGGGCATGGTGGAATTCGCCAAGCTTGCGGCACACATGCTGCGCTCTGCGAATGAATACAAGCTTACCGTGCGGCAGGTTCTTGAGGAGCTTGCAGAGTAACAGTATAATTTGGGCGATACGAGCCCCGTAGTGTCCGGGTGTGCAGCACATTATACACGGGCCTGTCGTCATTATAAATATCGGGATTTATGTTTTTTTTTGTCGCTTCTTTTTCACGTGCCATGATGCTCCCATGCTTGCAACACGATCACATTCCCCACCGTTCTCCTTTTCTTTATTCCTGGCATTTATCTGTTGAAACTACCACTGTTTTTCTTTTTTTTTTTTTTTTTTTCTTTTTTTTTTTTTACTTTTATCTCTATCCCATGCGAAAGCCTCCAAATATACATATTTATTTTATTAGAGGCGACACAAAGGGTGGGGAAGGGAGGAAAAAAAAAAAAAAAAAGAGCCGTTAACATCTCAAAACAAACAACAAAAAAGAGGGGGATGGCTCTTTCCACGCACCGCTCAGTGCGGGTGTCACCAAGCGCTGCTGAGGAGTGGATGATGTCGCTCACCGCCCAAGGTGCCATTGGCACAGTGAACCCCGAGAACCCGTCTTCTGTTGTGTCAGCCATCCGATTCCTTTTGCAAATGTCTATTGAGCTCGATAACCATGGTAATTATGTCGAGAGCGTCAAGTGCGCTGAGTCCGCGTTGCTGCTACGTCACGTCAACGAGGCGACCGTGACGCCGCTGCTTGCGCCTCTTATTGCAGCGGAACTCATTCCGCGTGGCCGCAGTAGAACCGTGGACCAGGCGGAGGATCTCGTGTTGTGCTGCAACAACCACGCCGTGGCTGCATTCAACGAAAAACAGTTTTTGGCAGCCGAGTTTTTTCTTGGAAAGGCGCTCTTCCTGACGGATTTGCGTGGCAAGGAGGAGGCAAATTATTTTATTGGTGCCGAGTCCCGAAGGTTGCGGCTGCGGGCAGCGACGCTGAATAATCTCGGCTGTATGGAGAAGCGGCGGCAGCGGCTAGAGGAGTCACTTGGGTACTTGCGACAGGCTGTGGAACTTGAAGTGTCACTGGACACCACTTCGCGTGGGTCACCGTCGACGTATTTGAACCTTTGCACGGTGCTGAATGAATTAAGCCAACACCACGAAGCAGTGAACGCGGCAGAGAACGCCATTGCAGCACTTGAAGAGCAAATGTCGCGGCAGAACAAGGAACAATTGCCAGTGTCTGCCATGATGCTGGTGGTCGGCTTGTACAACTTGGGCGTCTCGCTGGAGCACCGCGGTCGTGATGACGACGATTTCAAGGCCCGTGCCGCATACAATCGCGCCCTTGAGGTGAGCCGCAGGCATTTCGTGGACCCCAATTGTCCCACCGTCGAACTGGCAATGGCGGCCGTGCGTCGCATGCATGCGGAAACAGCATTTCATGTGGATCGAGTGGAAGCAAAATCGCAACGAAGAAAAAAGCTGCCCTCCGATCCGACACGACCCTTAAAACCGCTGCCACAAGAAAAGGAAGAGCAGAATTTGGTGCAGACACTTCCAAAAGATTTGCATGAAGCGCCAGAGAAGTCATGGCCACAGTTGCAACAGCAGCCACCGAAGGTTCCAATCTCGCCATTGGTTCCCGTCACCGAGGCTGTAGCTTATGATGCTTCACAGAGCCAAAGCATTCATTCACGCATATCATGCCCGGCGTCGGAACGCTCCGTGGTTTCCGTGCCGTTTGCTTCTCCCGTGAATTCTTGGAGTAGAGGTGCTCCTTCTTCACTGCCGAGCGTGGGGACACCCGCATCTGTCCGCAGCGCCCCCATACCGATACAGGCGCACACAGTGCCTGGTCCTGCGGCTCCGCGTGCGGTGGCCTCATCCCGTGTATCCATCGCATTTCATGCGGATATTCCCACCGCTACAGGACAACGAAGTTCACTGTTTCAGTCACAGAGAGTCCCTAGCGGCGATGGAAAGCAACCCCTTCCACGGCCAGCGGTGCTTGCACCAATAGTTCGGGAGGCTGATTCGACGCCGACTACAACCAACACCGCATCTAAGGGAGAGCGACGTCTAAGCCTTAGTTCTGTACTGCAGCCGAGGCTTTCTCAAAAAGCAGCTGGTTCATTTGATTCCGTCACGGCAAGTGGGGTTTTGAACCCATTTTCTCGCCGCGTCTTTGAGAATGTTGCGTCGCAGGATCAACAAAGGAGAAGCTCGGTTTTTACGTCACTG